GGTTAACTGCCTAATATGAGATTGTTGTAACTGCAACAGGAAGAAGGATGGGTTGTCTGTAGGGTGTTCAAGAAGCGAATGCCGACAATGAGAAAAGTTGGTGACTATGACTCACCATGTTGGTATGATGACCAGGTTTCATTCATGCCAGAGATTGATTCTCCAAGGCGAACATCTCAACCTTACGCACCATACCATCATCACTATCACTGCAAGCAAGAGCTTGAGTTGCAATACAATATGCCTCATGACCCTTTCCTCCAGCTTCCTCAATTAGAAAGCCCAAAAGTTCCACAATCAGCAGCTACTGCGAGTTGTAATTCAGTTATTGCATATGGTTTTGACAGGACCAATGGGAACACCTTGCAGTCATCTACCCTTACACAAGAAGAAAAAATGCAGCAATGCCATCAACAAAATTTGAACTCACTTCACAATAACAATAATAGTGAGCAAGCTGTAGACCAAGTGACTGATTGGCGAGTCCTTGACAAATTTGTTGCTTCCCAGTTAAGCCATGAGGATGCCTCCAAGGGAACCAATAACTTCTCCAGTACAGCCACCTTTAATGCAGCCGAGCAGATGAACATACTTGCCAACGAATCCAAAAGGTCAGAAATTGCACAGGAATATGCCTCGACGTCTACGTCAAGTTGCCAAATTGAGCTATGGAAGTGAACGCATATAATAATGATTAATTACTAGAAGATGCATACTAATTATAGGAACTGCACTTATTATGGAAAAAGGGTATGTTCCAAGTTTCTGTACATAATAAAACTGAAATGGTATTGTCGTAGCTATGGACTTTCTGTGTCCATACCGATGAATACGAGGTTACTAGTTAGAGAACGAATGCCAAGAAAAAATAAGCTAGTACCTTCAGGTGGACTGTTTGTTGGAATTCACTCAGCTATTGAATGTCGGGTGTATCTTTTCTTCAATTTGCATTTGAAGGGTTGTGATTGTAATGGTCCTTTTCTATTTGGATAATCTCTGTAGGTTCAATCGATCCTAGCATTAAGGTGTCTGTTTAATCTCCCCTTAAGTTTTCACGGTAATTATTTGAAGATTTTAAGGTTCGTTTTTCACTTCTTTTCATAAGAAAAAATGTAATCCTCCATGAATGATAGTTATCTATCTCATAAGGAAAGAATCCTCAGGAAGTTGCTGTTTTACTGTCTGTTGCTAGTTCTGCAGCTGTATTTTGTACTCCCTTTTCACCATTGGCTTCCCCCTCGCGTTTTGGTGCTATTATATACTATACTCTGTGCTTTTAAAAAGAAATGCATTTATATATTAAGTTGTAATTCCTGGATGGCAAATCAATTTGGATCTCTACGGCCCACACAGCCTCATTTATTATATATATGTGTATATATGTATGTATGTATGTATGTATGTATGTATGTATGTATGTATGTATGTATGTATGTATGTATGTATGTATGTATGTATGTATGTATGTATGTATGTATGTATGTATGTATGTATGTATGTATGTATGTATGTATGTATGTATGTATGTATGTATGTATGTATGTATGTATGTATGCTAACATGTTCTCAAAGAATGATGAATATGGGCATCCAATACAATTGCCGTGGATGTCTTTTTTCTTCTTCTTTAGAGTTTTTTTCTTCCTCATCTAATTACCATTAGATAAATGGCCAATGATGAAGCTAATTAAATATACTTGTGGAAGATGCCTAAACCTACCATCTAAATCAGATCATATAGGAAAAGCGTTTAGAACACTAATTTAGATTTCCATCCCTGTTAGTATATAGCATGAGTGTATGAAAATCATTGTGAAGTATTTTACGAAATGGATATGGTTAATCTTGCATGCGCAAAAGAATATATAGTTTTGATAATGCAGTTAAGATACCAGACCATTTTATTACTATGATCAGGATATAGGAATATTGCTTGAATATTCAAAATTATAAGTTTCTGCATGTATCGTAGCAGAATAGTTAGTTTAATTTGTATTCAAAATCTATGATAACATGCTTATCCTAACGTTATTTATGATGCAACAGAAATTAAACCTAACTTATCCCAACACAACAATCTTTCCTTAAAGATAAACTAGCTCACAGGTCCTGGATGTTGAAGGAATTAAGCTGCTTCACCTAATTAAATATAGCTAGGTTTGAACTTTGAATTCTTCACAAATAACAATTTATTTGTTTGAGCTAAAAAACCTCCTAATATTGTTCTGAAGTAGCACGTTAAGCTAAGCAAAACATGGCATTGTCCCTAAATTTCGAGCTCAAACCAAAGAATCGGCACAACTCACTGAAAATCCTATATAGAGTATACTTCCCCAAATACCAAAGATAGAGAAAGAAAAAAATTCAGGGAACAGTAATAAGACTTAGAAAAAGCAGCAATAAAAATCTGTACCCAAACAAAGAAAATGCAACTAGCAAGCTGTTAATTCCCATGACTTCAAAAAATCACTGTTAGTGTAATAAGCTTGGTCAATCTCCGTTTTCTGTGCACGAGCACGACGCAACTGCTAGTGTGAACCTGTTAAAGAATCGGCATAACGTGTGTGTTAATCTTGTTTCGATGCTCAGGCACCATCCAATCCATGCCTTTATTCTATAATATTATACGTACCTGTCCAAGAAGATGAACCAAAATGCATCTGAGAATCTTCTTGACAGGTCAAGACTGTATCAAACAAAATTCGATCGAGAACCCAGAACTTCAGCATCACGGAGGAGCTGCGAGACCTGGTCTTAGATTCGGATGATTAATGAAAAATCATATTTATTTGTGTGTACTTGACAGCGAGAAGTACATGCGTTGAAAGTCCTACCAGGGGGTTTAAATACCGATGACAAGGAACAAGGGAACATATTAATCACTCGGTCTCTCATAATAGATAACATGACTAATTAACAAAGAAGAAAAGTATGTTTGTTCGGGTGTTATTGACCAGGGGAGCAATCTCTTACTTGGGTTGAAGTCAAGCAGTAAAATCCCTTTAAAGCAATGAAAATTTCCCAAGCGACATAATGAGTGGGCGTGCTCTCCTGGACTCAACATAAACTCGTAACGACAACTAGTATGGAGAGAGAGAGGTAGAGAGGCATATGCTCAATGGGCGGATTCCTCAAGGAGGAAAAAGAAAATTGAAAGGACGCGCAATAACTTGCTGACTAAGTTTGATATGCTGCAGGCTAGCTTGCACTTTCTCATTAGGGTTTTGTGTTCTCATTGCGTCACTTGTGATAGAAGAAAACAAGGGTATTTTCCATACAATAATGTCTCTCATTTCATACAAGAGAAGAGAAGGTTCGACCTTGCAAAACCCAAAAGAAGCTAACCATGCGCGCTGATGCAGATTCTGTGAGTGAATAATTAGGGTTTTACAATTAAACATGCTGTTTGGAGGTACATTTAATAGTATAATTGTTATAATTGTGATTGTTTTTTGAAGTATTTTTTCAGGTACATTTAATAGTATAATTGTTATACTTGTGATTGTTTTTTAAAGTATTTTTTATTTAAAATAATAATCTTTTTTTCTTTTTAAAAAATTATTTTTGATATTAATGTATTAAAATAATTTTAAAATACTAAAAATATATTAATTTAAAATAAAAAATTAAAAAATTTAATTTTCTTAAAAGTACTTTTAACATATAAAAACCTAATATTGGACAGACAACATCATTAACCATGTGAAGCAAACATTATCCATGTGAGGCAGCATTAATTATTGGCGTGCATCCTTTGCCACCCGGATCCCAAACCTCCACAGTTCCCGGAGCCAAATTTCTTTCACTGACTAGAGTATTATATACATAATACCCCAGCCAGTGAAAGGTACAACCCACCATCAATTGATTATCACGTGATACCATATTGTGTCTACATTAATTTTGGTCTCATCTCCTACGTTAAAACTTGAAAAAAAAAAAAGAAGTTTTGTCAATTGTAGTAAATTATGGTGGATTTTATATCTAAACTTGTTCACAAGATTTAATTTATTTTATTAATATATTTAAACGGGTTCTTTCCTCTAAATAAAGTTAAGTTGTTTTTTAAGTAAGTTTTAAGCATTTTTAAAAAAATTATTTTTTTATGTTTTTAGATTATTTTAATTAATATGTTGATTTAAAAATAAAAAATATATTATTTTAATATATTTTTTAAAAATTACTTTGAAAAACCAATGTGGTGATCCACATTTTAGAGTATGTCATTCAGTGCTTCTCTTATTAGAAAAGCTCACCATGACATGCATACACGCCTGGTTTTATGCTTTTGACTTTTGTAGAAAACCTTGTAGACTTGATGATATTAATTCGGTAGCCTACAGATCAAAAGTAGGAAAGATGAAACTATCTTTCTTTTCTATAGAAAAGATGAAACAAGAAAAAAGAAAAAGAAACAAAAAGAAGCAGCTATCAATAATTAGCTTTGCCTTGACTCTCTCTCTCTCTCTCTGTTTGTGATAGGTAGAAATTCACAGTAGGTATGTGATATAGAAGGAAAATAGTCGATATGGCTTGGAAGCAAAGATGAGATCGTGAAAGTTGAATTTGTCATGAGAATTTAGTAGGGTTTTTTTTCGTTTACAAGGCATGCATGCGCATGACTCTTCGAGGAAGACAAAGTGGGAGTAGAATTGACAGACTGAAAGGGCACATTTCCTGATTGGCAATTCTTGATGGCCAACCATAAAGGAGACAAGAAATGCTTAGGCTTGTTGTTTGTTGGTTCACTTTAAAAGGGAAAGAATTAGAAAAGTAAAGAACAAGCAACTTCGATCGATTTCTTTGTTGGTTGGGTAATGGCTTGATGCTTGACTTGGGAGTTCAGAATTGAGATAGGCTTTCCCATCCTACACCAGTGTTCTTTAATTTCTGCCATTATACATATAACTTCCTCAACTGCATGGAGGCGCCTATTCCTTTTTCTTTTTCGTTTTCTTTTTTCTCTTTTCTGTTAGCTGCCCTTACCTTGCAAGGAAACAATACGAAGGAGCAATTTTATTAGGAAAGCACTAAATGCTCAATACTAAGACAGCATGAAAGCTTTCGTAAGTACTTAACATTGTGCACTTGTCTCACTGCCTGCATCTACCTTATCACAGCTCTTTGGCTTTGTTCATATTTTGATCACAAAATCAACTTTTGTGACTAGATATTGATGGCTTAACAACAAGGGGGTAAAGAACACGGCCATATATCGATACATGTGCAATTCAGAAAATTTCTCTTCAAAATTGGTTCAAAACATTAATGGCAAGGAAATGTTAATTGCCTCTCCCTTTAACTTTTGTTATTCTGTTATTTTTTTAAGTAGTTGTTCCGATTCATAAAATTGGGATCACTTTGCCTTCGAACTATTTCGCATCGCAAAGACCAGTGACTTGATCACAAAAACCATCGCGGCCCAGCAATTTCTGAGGTGGAGCGCTTGACAGGGAGAAGAAGGTGTCCCTTAAGCATTTTGTCTGCCGTTTCCGCGGCCTAAGCTTGCTCTGTTGCGTACCCCTGTAGTAGGATTTGTGCCACTCGCATGCCTGCAAAGAGCCTATATATATATATGATCAAACACGAGTACTAATCACACGAATAAATTAAGAATGATAGTGTGGAATCTATGGATAATGATAATCAAACACAATGAGAAACTTGAACTATATGCCATTGACCTATTGTTAAAATTTTGTTGTTGCATTAACTTGAACGGCTACAATTCATGAATCCTATCAATTTACTCTTGATAATTAGCTTTTCCTCAATCCAAATTGCTGATGAAAGTGATCAAATTTTCTGAAATATTTATAACTTCTAAATTTGGGACTATTATCTGGTGATCTGCTCTCCTGACCCGTCACATGCATCGCAATAATTAAACTCCAAGATTGAATTAGGATACTCCTCTTGATTGCAGTATCATACAGAACAAATTGCAACCACTGGTCTCCTAGAGATCAGAGTTGTTGCATCAGAATAGATAAGTATACCAATCAGATTGGTCAAGTTTCTTCACTTTACGAGACAAACTTCACCAGAATTCAATGAATTTTATCAGAAAAATCAAAGGCGTAATCTAGAGAACAAGGACGCCAATATGCCATGGTGTCAGGATTAATTAAGCCACATGAAAAGAGAGCATGTAATAGTTTCTTTACATGAATAAAAAGAGGATCCTAAAGTAATGATTCATAAAGAAAGGAAAACCGTTGACAGGATATGCAGAAAACAGGTGATGGAACCGCAAACAGTTGCCAGCAAGAGGTGCATGTAAGCATTTTTGAGATCAAAATGAAAGCAACTACTAACTAGTTTATAATAGCACCTGTTTCTGTGGAAGGTCTATAACAGAATCACTGGAGTCAGCACCTGCAAGCTGGGCACCCCCAAGATCACTACGTGTGAGTGCTGATCTAACAAGCACAGCATTGCTGAGGTTAGCTTCATTGATAACCTGTTGACAAATGCAGAACATATTTGTCAGTCACTATGATCCTTGTCAATCCCAAGAATTGGAACCACTATTAATTTTTTTTTTCCCTATTAGATGATTGAAAGAATGAATCAAGACATTCCAACTGATTAAACAACATTTCATGCGGTAACATATTTTTCAAGAAAATCTGTATCTAATCCATATATGGACTCAATTGAGTTGAATTATTTTTTTATTTTATTATATGATAAAAAAACATAAAACAACAATCAATTTAATACTAAAAATGATAAAATTCAATAAAAAATTAACATTAAATAATAAGATTAAAAAAAATATTAATCATTAAAAAAAATTTCAGATAGATCGGTTGCAGGTGCCAGTTAAGGGGTATGATTCAAACCCCAACGACAGGTTGCTGGTTCGTTGTGATGAGAAGGTAGAGATTGAATTAGTAAGAAAGGTTAGACTGGGAGAAACAGAGGTTTTGGATGATGTCAGATTGGTCAACCTATCGAAAACTTCAGATGATGAAACTAATGACTTGATGAAGACAGCCGTGATGACAAAAGTTAAATGTTATCCTTGTAGGAGACGAATATATGCTATTCGATGATTCCCGCCAGGTTGTGGAACAGAGGCGGCACGGGTTAATACAGAAGTTGCCCGAGAATCTGTTACTTAGAAAACCAATGGTTTCAGTCACAAGATACCCAGCCTTGAAATGACTCTGTTAAAAAAGAATGGAGAGGCAACTGAGAGTCATGGACACCAAAAAAATGCTGCACGTGCTCGTGACAGGGACATGTTTCAATCAGATATTGAATGCTGGAAGATTAATAGTGAGAAACAGTTTAAGAATGAATTGGACAAATATTCTGATGGGAAACTCTCAGACCAGCATCATAGGATGAATCAACATCTAGAAAGAGTGCCTAGTCATCTGGAACATCCAGCACCTAGGGTGATAGTGCACGCACTGATGGCACCATCGAAGTTTACATTGACAAAAAGGACAACAGCATTCACAGCAAAGCTGATAACTGATCTAGCGAAAAGAAGAGTCTAGAAGCAGTGATTTGCTGGTGCAGGATATGATGGATTTCATGCAACTAAGAGAAGGAGGTGTGAAATGAACTGTTTTGCTATAAATCACAGGAACAAGAAGCTTGCTTTCATGCGGCAGGAGTTATGTCACCAGATCATCATATGGTTAATGTGAAGTGCTACTGCAACTAGTTTTACCTGTAAAATTTGCCTTGTATGCTACTGCGTTCTCCAGGTATGCATCATTGAATGCTGAACCACTAAAATCAGATTCTTTCATGTCAGCAGCTGTAAAAGTGGCTCTGCTGCATCAGCCATTTAGATTGGCTAAGATAAAAATTAGACTAGAAAATGCAATCACTACGTGCCAAAGAAGCAGAATGCCGTAGCATTAGAACATAACAGTAGGAATAGCTGCAGCAGCATATTTCTTAGTAGAAGAATTAATATGCAGCAGAAAGTGGAGTGTATCGCTTGTTTTACGCTGGTAGTAGTAGAGAGTGGCTAATTCCTCGTAAAAAACGAAATTGCCTTGTGGGATTTTTTGCCAATCAGTAAAATTTAATCTTTGCATTGAAAATTATGTTCTCCCTATGGTTCAATTTACATTTTCTTGGATGGTGGAGGGAGAAATAGCTTGGGATTTGAATAGGCAAAAGGTAAAATATGTCTGTCGCGCATTTTCCCCTGATGACGAGGAACCCCAATCTTTGCATTATGCGGGTGTGTCAGCAAACCCCTCCCCAACCCCGTGCAGTAGAACAATTCTTGCACCTAGATTTACTATATTGTAAAGCTAAAAGACTGTTTTCTTTTCAATTCTAGTGAGATTTGTTTTGAAATCAGAGATAATTACCTGAAATTTTCTGTCATATGTACTGCCTTTCTGCACAACAACCAAACCCGAACTTTAACAACAGTATACACCGTTTGTAACAGGCACAATCATCGTCAAAAAAAAAAAAAAAACGTGCGATCTGCCAAGGAAGACCCTTAACAGAGCAAGGACTTATTTTTATCTTTAAAGAATGGGAAGAAGTCCTGATATTTTTTCTTTTTTTAATAAAAAATAATACCAAAAATATTTATTTTTTATTAATGATAATATACACACACATCTTTTTAAATAATTATATTAGAAATATTTAATCGTGTTAGAGATCTCTCATTAATGATAATATATATACACATACACCTCAAATATCTAATCCCTTAAAAATATATACCAATTCTAGTGAGATTTATTTTGAACTCTGAGATAATTACCTGAAATTTTCTGTCACATGTACCGCCTTTCTGCACAAGAACCAAACCCGAACTTTAACAACAGTATACACCGTTTGTAACAGGCACAATCATCGTCAAAAAAAAAAAAAAAAGGAAAGAGAAAATTACATTGCAGTCAATTTAAGTCTCTGCACAAGCTCATCATATCTTCGAGAAAAAAGAACTCTAATCAGCTATGCTTGTGCAAATGAGAGATCTGAAGAAGGCACCAAATTTTCTCGGTGAATAAAACAAACGTGAGGTCTGCCAGGGAAGACCCTTAACAGAGCAAGGATTCATTTTTATCTTTAAAGAATGGGAAGAAGTCCTGATTTTTTTTTTTAATAAAAAATAATACCAAAGATATTTATTTTTTATTAATTATAATACACACACACACTCACACATCTTTTTAAATAATTATATTAGAAATATTTAATCCTGTTAGAGAACTCTCATCAATAATAATATATTTACACATACACCTCAAATATCTAATCCCTTAAAAATATATGCTTTTACCCTCCTAAAAAAGAAAAGATTATTAAATCTAGATATTCTTCAAACCAATTAGACAAGGAATCAAAACTGCTATTCTAAAAAGATAAATTCTTTGAAACACTAAAATATTTATTACATCAGAACAAAAACAAATATTTATATTCTTGAAATTTAATGCTCTTTACTATAGTTATTATTTATTTTCCTCTTAAAAATTACTGATTTTATTATTAGAAAATCTTTAAATTTTCAAAAAAAAAAAATTATAAGTACTTAGAAGACACTCACCATGAAATAATTGCAATACCGTGAAAAATGGTAACTTTTGAACAATATTAGAACTCTTTGTAGGTAATAAAAGACAGATATAATTTTAATATGGTGGAGAATAAAAACTTTTGAACTATAATCTTTGATGGGCTCATAATTCAACCACAAAAAACCTTATATTTAAGCACATTGGATTTTGAAGTATTATCATATGTGCAATTAATAAGCTATGGTGAAAGGCTTAGATAAAAAGGGAGATATTGAAGATGAAATGGAGATATTAGGAGATTTAATGGATGGTGAAGAGATTATAGTGAAAGCAATTACAATATTTTCTTCATTTTGCTGGAGAAGTTAAAGATGCAATGGCAACGACAATGACAATGGAAGAGAGTGCAGTGGAGGGAAAAGAAAGGAATGAAGGGACTCGAATTGGAATAGAAATAGATTGCTCCATCTATCGGCTTGTTTTTCTATTGGCTAAGTTTGGCACACGTGTTGCTTTGTTATTTGCCTGGTGGGCTGCCACTTGTGTTGCCTTGCTTATCAGAAGAAAACTAATCGTTGTGATGGCGAGATGATTTTATGACAATTAAAACAAGCGTTTATAAGAAAAACAGAGATTTAATTTCTAAAGGAAAAATTGTATTATTTTTACAACTAAAACTCCTTTTTAGAGGATAAAATATTTTCATAAATAATTTTTTTATCAATTCTGTAGGAGTTAAATATTTCTGAATTATTAGAATATCTATACCCAATTCTCCTTTTAAATAAAAAAAATATAATAATTTCTTATGAATTTGTTGGTCTAAAAAGAAGAAAATATATTTTAATTAGAGAATCATCCCATCTTAATTAAAAACATAAATACCTTTTGAACAAGAACGCAAGTTTTGTTTCTATATTACTTTTGAATTTATTTTTCTTGCTACACTCTTTCCTATTTGATTTTGCAAAATCTTTTTCAATATCTTTTTCTTTGTTTGCTAGAACTTATTCAACGTCTACATGATTTTTAGATTTCTTTTTCATGATTTTGAATCTTTAATTGAATGAATTTTACTTCAATCCATGATATAAGTAATTGGGTGAAAGTTTTTAATTAGATTGTGCTACTTCGAAATCCGAAGGCGTTTTTAATTCCAAGAAATTTTGCAATTTTCCCTAGTTTCGTTACCAAATCTCCCATTCAAAAGGGCAGCTTTGATGTTCTTTTTGAAATTGAAGGAGATCCATTAGGTTTGGGCCCATTGAAAAGATCCAGTCATGTCCAGTGGATTCTTACTGAAGAAACAAGAACGCGAGCCCGAGAAAGTCACAGCCTTGGGCATTATTAGATCAAACAGCTAACCCAATATCATTGCAGGAACCTCGACATCCAGTGACAACATTAAATCTTTGAAATAATTGAACAAGGTCTGGAAACTAAGATTTCACTGGGCATGCTTATTGTTTGTTGCATGAACAATACGAAGGCATTGAGCTTCTAAGCCAACTATTGGAACGAAAGATTTGCCCAGAAGCATGCTCATATTCTAAATCCATGATTTCAGGTACTGAGTTGAAGAAATCTTCAAAACCCATATTCACCCACATCACCTAGATCTCTTATCATCTTAGATTTCGATCCAAAAAAACATGAAAACTCCAAATAGATATTTGTGCGAATGACAATTTCATGTCACCAACAACATCTATAGCTTCAAAAGCTAACCTTCTAAGAAAGAAAATCTTAGCTTAAAGAGAAAATATTATGGGGTTTAAGAAGATTACAGAAATTCTTAACTATGAAACGCTTTTCCATAGACTAAATAATTTCACATCCTTAAAAAGATTTTTATTTGATTTGGTGATTTGTGTTTAGAAAAAAAGAGAAAATGATATGTGGAAGAGAAATAAATCATCACCGAAAAAAATAAAAAAATAAAAAACTTTTATTTGATTGATTTTTCAATCTAATATATGTAAGTGTAATATGATTATTTTATTACATTTAAAGATTTTTATTGATCAATGATACAAAATGTAATTTTTCAAAATTGAATAGTCAAGTGTAATTTAGACCAATGCTAATTCAAAACTTAATAGTGAAGTGTAATTTAGACCAATGCTAAAGCTAATTTTCTCTAATTTTAATTAAAGATAAATTTTTTTTTTCAAAGTTTCCTTTCTTTGTTTATTTTCTTTAACAAAAATATTTTTTTATTAGAAGTATTGTTTTTAAATAAAATATACTATGATTTGACAAGCATTTTTTAATAAAAAAATCATTAAAGAAAAGCGTGAACAATAATTTTTGCTAGGATGAAGACGATAATCAGTATAAAGAAACAAGTTTTTATTTAATTTTGATAGTTTTTGTTAGGATGAATATGATGATGATGACAAATACTTTAATCCATGCCATTTTAGGAAAGACAGAAAAAGGCTAGGTGTCGCATGTCCAAACATTTTGGATCAAGCTACTAAAAATTAGATTTTATTAGTTTCTTTACTCACCTGATATCCCAGACTATGTTTAAAATCTATTTGTTTTTGTATTTAAAATAAATTTTAAGAGGAATTTTAATAACATAAATCCTCTAGTAAAAATTAAGGTATCCTTTTCAGTTTAAATTTATTTTTTATTCATGTAGTTTTTTACATAAATATTTTTTATCATTATATAATTTTTTAAATAAAAACTTGTCATAAAAAGAAGTCATTAATGCCTAGAAATACCTTTGTAATAATCCTAGCCTTAATTTACTCATATTTCAATTCAATCTTATCTTATTAGAATCATTTGAATTTGAATTTGAATTTGTTTTTCGCTTTCTCTTCTATTTAAGTAGAATTTTAGGTTATAAAAAATATAGGAAAAACTTATGGAGACTTTCTACTATGCTGTGGAAGGATTTGGACATTCTCAAATATGTTTTTATGAAGACCTGAGCAACCTTGAATATGCTCATAAACTATCTTTTTG